GGCACAGCCCGCCGGGTCCTAATGCCGCCGAGCCCGGGCTGGAGCCTCTCGCCTCCCGCCCCGGCGGGCTGAAGGCATCGAGGGGATGCCCGGACCATCCCAATGGAGAAATTTCTGGCGGGGAACACCCTGAGGCCACTTGGACGTGCTCGTGTGCAACACGGTCCTGGCAGAGCTGAGCACTGCCACGGGTGAAACCACCTTACCCCGCCTCCCTCGAGAGAAAAGCACCGAAGGATTCCACGGGAAAAGGAAGAGGTGCCAGCAGCTCCTGACATCGATGCTCCTTCTATACTTGTAAGAAACCCTGATTTGTTCGTCAAAACTCAGCCCCTGAGCTTTACCTGAGAGCTGCTCATCTTCATCACGCAGTACACGAACAGAAAACGCCCTGGAACAGGTGGGAAGGTGAGAGAGCAGGACTAAAACCGTACATGATGCAGCTGAGCACGATTCCAGGATCTCTCCTGGCAAACTAAGGAAGGCTCTTGACAAGCCAAAGACTAGGAAGAGAGGAGACTGTAAGAAGTCCAGCGAGGCAGCTTTTACACTTGAAGATTAAACAGTAGAATTGTTGTAACTTTATATGTTTTAATACCATTTTAGCAAGACATCCTTAAGTGACCTGAGATGACTTGGTCTGAGGGTGCTAGAACTGCAAATAGGATTGAAACATTTGCTTTTATTGCCTTCCAGTGTTTCCTGTGGAAATGTGATCAATTTTGTTAACATTGGCACACAGTTTTCATTAATTTGCCTAGTCTTGCTGCCAAAGCTGACAAGGGACAGGAGAGACAAGCTCCCCATCAGTGAAAGCAGAGTTAGGTGAGCAGTGACAGCCTCCTCACGAAAACAGGCAGGGACACAGACAGAAAAAGCTGTACCCAATGTACAGCCATGAGTAATGCTGAGTGAAAAATGTATATTAAAGAGTGGTCTTCCCATAAATGTATCTGTTCGCTTTGGCATAAACTCCTCTACTACATACTATGCATGACAGAACAGGACCATTATTTAAAAGCCAAAATACCTGACTTGTGATATGTTTTATCTATCCTGTCACAGCAATCTGTCTTACTCCTATCAAAACCACGAAACTAAACCACAGAACAAAAATTCTGGAGCCATGCACATACTTTCACTATGTGAATCAATGCAGGCTTAGAGTTAACACCACTATATGGCACGTGAAAAAAGCCCAAATGTCCTAAAGACTCAATATCAAAAAAAGTTTTGTTTCATATACTTTTCAAGGCCTTTCCTCTCACTGCTGAGAGTGCTCATCTCCCTACTACAGATACTAAAGGACCTGCTCCTAGCAGCATTCTTATGTGAAGCTTCTGTAATGTAAGTGAAAATTTGTGTGATTTCATCAATAGGTAAATCTGTTTCCTCTTTCGCATTCTTATTAAACAACAAAAAATCAAATGGGTAAGAAAACCAAAATTCAAGGAGACCTAAGGTAATCGGGTCCAACTGGTTCAATATAACACTAGTTAGTGCTTTCACAATGTGGAGAGCATTAGGTTTGTGCTATCAACTTCCAAAATAAAACAATTTCAGAATCTGCCGAAATACTTTAAAAAATGCACTTTAAAAAATACTTTAAAAAAGGCGGCAGTGCAAATCAGATACTTCTGTAGCCTCTCATCAAATAGTCCAGAAATTAATACAATGAAACTGTACCACCTTGTTAAAAGAAAAAAACAAACAAACTAAAAATTACTATTTCTCAGTCCCAACTTGTGCTCCCAAGACAGACGTAGCTTACAAACTCAGCAAATCAACAGTGTGAAAAAGAGCAGTCAGACATGGTAAGCCACAGCTTTTTGAAAGCACATACGTTGAGTAATTGCTAGCACACGCGTCCGAAGTGCACAAAACTTCCCAAGGATTCAAACGGATATGAGCATCTTCCACATTTTTATGTGCAATGGCATTAAGTTTCACTGTGGGCTGCAATAGCAAGGTCATGCCTTGAGGCTGGCAAGTTCATTTAACATATGAGTCATTCAGTGTGGCAACAACATAACAGAAATATCCACAAACCAATGAATTGTGAAAGAACTATAACATTTTCCCCCTCAGGTCTGCACCTACTAAAGTGTCACAAATAAAACTAATATCACAGAAATGATTCAGCAAAGGAGGAACTAAGCAGTAAATGACAGTCAACTCTTTTACAAGTCAATAACTTAACTGTTTTTATTTGAAACCATACCAGTCAGCACAGTCATCTTAGAAAAGATCAACAAAAAAAGACACTCCAGACATGATGTTTGTAACTACTGCAACTACAGATAAGATACCTCTACAACATGGAAATTGCAAACTAGGTTTTTCTTCACTGATACCTTCTGTCAGAATCATAGGGAATTTAAAACTAAGAACTTATCACCACTCCCCCAAAAATAAAGTTGGTTTAAAATATAAATGAGATAAAATAATTAACCAAACACTTGATGTGCAATGAACCTGAGTGAAAGATTAGCCTGGCAAGAAAAAAAAAACAACAAAAAACCGAAAAAAAGATAGAAAAAGTTGTAAGCAGTCTAGCTTCCTCTCCATTAGCTTCTTACTACATTACCCCACAGAATCACAGCAGCCAAAAAAAACATAAGTACATCAAAGCAGGTATCTAAGTTTACATTCATATATCTAACATGCATATTTGTCCAAGTGCAGTTAAGGGAACGTAGTATGCCCCTAAATTGAAGTTGCTGATTTGTGTTTCGTATTTTGGCACTGGAATGAATACCTAGTACTTTGAAGGCCAGATTTTATCTCCCTCTCACCTCGAAAGTAAAAATGAAAAACTGAGTGTTACAGAAAGGGATATTAAATAGTCACTCTTAGTCACCTTCCTTGCCAATCTAATTTCAAATAAGGAGACCGCTTACATTAATCTTTTTAAGTCTAACTTATGCACTTATATCAGACCTTTGGAGTGTGGCCACAGATCTCTCAAGAGCTCACCTACCAGGCATTCTCTGTCCTTTCTTCCCCAGTATCTTAGTGAGGATGCTCTGTTTCAGTTAATGGTGCCCTAGATGCAGACCTGTTATGGTCTACATCTGTATCATGCAAAGGAGTCCAGAGCAGCTGGGTTCTGTCAGCTTGGCTGGTGCTCACCCGCACAAGAATACAGCCCTGTTTTCCTGCTCTCACTGTGTGTCCATGGGAAGTATCTGTGTTAGCACAAGGATGTGTCTGAGCTCCTTACCCTTGCCTCTCAGCAGGACTAAGGCCTCTGACAGGCCCGCTGTTACCACTCAGACATTAACCACCAGCCCTCTGACCAACACAGTCTATCCGATTAACACCTAATCTGCTCGTGAATCAGCTCCTGAGCCTCCGCTGCTTTCTGCAGGGCATGACAAAGTTAAGAGGTCCCGAGTGTGACTAAACCCTAATTTCACTGGAAGTAGCACGCTCTGGAACAGCTATCTCAGCTATGAAACCGGTTCATCAGAAGAATGTGCAGTGTCTGTGCTGCTCTTTACTACAGAGCATATGCACATCCAGCACCTCAAAATGCTTCTACCAAGAAGCTTTAAGAATTGCCAGCTGCCACCAGAACAGCTCCATTTCAATATAAACCACCAGTGGGATTCAGAGAGTAGGAAGAAATAGAGGCACAAAGTCTTTGTTAATTTCAAGATGTCAGTATATATACAGATAAGAATATATTTGGCTTTGGTGAAAACAAGATTGAAAAGAAGACAATTTTTGCTTAGGGAATTGTTGGCCTAAGTTATTTCAAATCCTGAATTTGAAGGAATCACTTCTACTTTACTGCACTTTTCTACTTTTCTACTGCACTTACAGTAAAACTTTCATTGGTGTTTTTACTTGCACTTTCTAATTGTGTACATTATTTAAATGGTGTGAAAGTTTCAACAAAGTAGTATTAGTACAGTAACTTAGCATGCTACCATGGTTTTTAATGAATACAAGGTTTAAAAATTTCCAGCTATGATTAGTTTGTCAGTAATTATATGTTTTGTATCTCCTGCAAAGCTGGATGCAATGCATGTTAGAATATTCTCATGTGTAGTGGTGAAGTATGCCATGAGAGATTATAGTCAGAGTGAAAAAAAGACTTTTTTTTTTTAAATGACAGTTCAAATATATTCAGTTCTGAATATTCAGAGAAACAGGCTCACAAACAGTGAGCCATAAATGGCCACTAACTCCCTCTCTAAAATAACTTACTTTTCTAAAAAGATGCTTTTACTATTTTTATATGCAAGAAGTGAATGCTAAGTAAAGTTGTTGTAAAATGCTTCAGAATTTAAAATACTTCATGGTATAGAGCAACCCTCCTACTTTTCACATTTTAAAAGAAAATTTCATCAGACAAATCCTCAGAGAGAGACACAAACACATTTTACTGAGAAGTATCACGTAGTGCTTAATAAATTACATGCAAATTCTTACCAGAATGCCACAGCTTTTGAAGATGCCATATCCATTGTTATCCTCAAGATATCCATTCTTATTCATCATTAGTTCCCTGCTTCCTTTGCACTCAAGCTTCAGAACGGATTTCTGACAAGCAACTCACACCTACCAAAATGGTTTCTAGAAAGCAAATTATATAGCTGTAAGACATGGAAAACAAACCAGCAATTTGCAAACCACTGCAAGTGCAATGCAAACACAGCAAATAGAAAATTCATTCTGAAACATTCATCCTATTATGCTGGACACTAATATAACCACAGCTGTAACATTATACTTATAAGTCACTAGTTCACCTATAGAAAAAAACACAAGAGCAAAATTCCTTTTTATCCCATGGAATCTCATATATTTCATCTCATTAAGGGTGGTAATTTGCCTGTGAATGATTTTTATAAAAGAACAGGACAAAGGAACATTATTCTAAACCATACTTAAGGTCTTCTAAGGACTTAGGAAAACCAAAGTTCCATTTATGCTAGGTAAAGCAAATACACAGAACAGTAAAAGGTCCTCAACCACATAAAAAACCCCAAGTCTAAACAGGTAAGACAGCACAGGGGAAAAGTCCACACACAGCACAAACAGCAGGACTGCAGTTAATGTAACAGCAGTTCTGCTTTGCAGGTGGCTTTTGCTTGCAAACAACATAGAGGGAGGTAAAGGGTAAGGAGGGCACATTGGCTGGGAGGAAGCATATGTAGTATACAGGAATGAAGCAGAAGTGAAGGGGTAGAATGGACAGCAAGAAGTGGAAGAAACAGTAAGCACGGGACAGAGATCAGCTAATTAAAGTTAGTCAATGTTCTCTGAATGGTCAAAGGTCCCTGGGCTTTTGGCTCTTTCTGTTCCTGTGGGTTAGTCTCTGGCAAGGTTCCTTCTTTACTGCTCCCAGGCTTAGAGCAGCATACTTAGACATATTTTATACTTACTTTCTGTTCTTTTCCCCATCACAATCCCCTCCCCACATTTTAAGATGGGATCAAAGATCTCTCCCTCAGTTGTAGCTTTAAAAGAGAGATGATCTGAATCTGCTCAACAATGTGTTCTGTATAGAACAAGCACATTCAGATCAGCCCTATTTGCAAGTGATCCAAGTTCTGATATTCTGACTTCAGCCTTCCTAATTCTTTCTTAAATAACACATACTGGATAGCAGAAAAGCGAGGCAAGACACTGATCTATAAAACAGTAGTTGAAAGTTGATAAGAGTACGTAAAACATTGTACTCCATGCTGAATAACAGAGTTGTTAGGATTCAGGATGGGGACAGCTGCTCTATAGGCTCTGGTGCACACAGCCAGATGGAAATATTCCAACCCTCACAGTAAACTGTACTTGTTCCAATGTTAACTGAATAGATTAGGCTTATATCAGAACAGAATATGCATCTGCATTGTCAAAACACTCATTGTTTAGATCCTTTAGCATAAATGGAGATAAGTCAGAGTAAAGAGCAAGTCTGCCTACAAGGGCAAATCAAACCTGTGAAACTGAAGTGGTGTAATTTTTTATGGGGCTGTATGGATAAGGGCAAATAAACTAGATCGAAGTCACTTTCATCTGGTGCAAGATCTCCAATAGGAATAGTTTATACAGGCATAGCAACTGCAATATAATTAAAAACAATTTCTGGAATTGGGCCAGCGCTCTTAGGTTGTTTCCTTCTATGCAGAAATAAGCTACCAATAGATACAGTTTTACACTGATACAGCTCTATTCACACTGGGGAAAGGTGGCTGATACTTCAATTACGCCAGTACAGATAAAGTAGAGAAATGTCTGATAGAAAACTAAGTGTCTCAGATATAGTCCATCTACCTATTGCAAGATAGCAACAATATTCCTAGCTCAGGAAACCCTTTAGACTAGTTCTTAACTTAAAAAAATAATCCTTCCTGTGTCATTCCCAGAACATCACCGATCTTTGAAATGCTAATGGAATTACTAGAGACAAACCAGACTTTGAATTTCTGCCAGATTCTGTCAAGAGTTCATCTGACAAAAGTTTTCTCCGTGCCACTCAGGTGTCACTATTCTCTTGTATCTCCTTTTCTTTTAAAATGAACCGGGTTTTTTTTAGCAACAATGTTGTGGCAATTTTAAATCTTTGTAAAAACACTGGTAAAAGTAAAGTGTGTGTCTTGGTGTGAAAAATACACACAAAAGCAATTATTACTCCTTTGCCAGACTACAGCTTTGGAAATTACCCACAACTTGTGGGTTATGACAATAGCAGGCAAGCAGAAAAGGTTACCCAGAAAAATTCCTTTAGTTCAGCTGCACAATAGTATTTCCACACTACCTGTACTTTACTTTGTTGCTTGTAACAGCATCTGCCAATTCCAGCTGTGCTGTTAAAAAAATAGAAAAACAAAAAACCCCAAACTTTTCTGCTTCTAAAGGAGCAAAGTTTAGTTATTTATCCAAGTGTTCTTTAAAGGAGAAAACAAATAAAAAAAAAAGTTTTAATCACTGTGTTGTCCCTGGGACACATGAATGGTAACTTCCAGACAACTGAGTTGAGACACCAGAATAACCTGATAAAACAAGAATGCATTTTTGTCTTTACTTGTGACTTCTTTACAGCTTCCAAAACAGACTCAAGAGAAATGCACTGTTTTTGTCTCCCTATCTCTGTCTCCCCCTAAAATAAGACCTCTGCTCTCAGGAATCTTTGGATAAAGTACCTACAATTGTAACTTACTTATCAAAGGTGAACTGTGCCTTGCTAAGAATAAGAACTGCAGTGACCAAAACCTAGCACATGTACTGGCAGGTATATTAATTATTAAAAAAATAGTAAAATACTTACTTTTAATAGCATAAATGTTCTCAACTCAGGGATCAGTCTGTGTTGAAAAGTGAGGTGCTTAAACGTCGGAGGTTTTTGTTGCTAGTTGATGAATTTCAGAAGAAGAAAATTGAAAATAAAACTCAACACTACAATTCTTATGTAGCATGCTATCATAACTTAATGGAAAGGGCATACTAATATAGAATCTCTTCTTAAACAAACATGATGTTTCTATTTAGAAAAATTATCTCATTGCAAATAGTTAACAGGGTGCTTTAGGACCTGCCAGCAAATGTAGTCTATTATATACAGAAATTATAATTTCTCAATACTCTGAAATTCTGTAAAAATTAATCTAAAATACTTTTAACTTACAGAAATCATCTTGAAGGATGCAATACTTAAATCTACTCCTTAAAAATCAACTTCACTGCACTTTTTGATGTTATTCCAAAACATACACATTTACCATTTCACAGCATGATAATGAAGTTAATCTTCAAAGCACTATATAGGCTTCATCACCTCTTCTTAGTGAGCATGTCAGGAATGAAATATCCTCTCTTGAAAGACCCTTAAACTCCCATAGCTGTATTGCAGACAAAGCAACAGACTCTCCTCCTTCAAAAATACAATCAATATGACAATAAGAGTTGGATCCAAGAGGATAGCATTTAAGCCGGATGTTCATGACCAGAATAACAAATTCCTGGGCCTGCTCTCAAAAGAATGTCATGATGCTGGGACCCAAAACCAGTGTAGCACGTTGGGTGGTATCCAGTCCTGCTATTGTTGTTAAACCCTAAGGTAAGTTACACACAAGCTCCCACACGAGCCCCCTCTTAGATATTCTTGGAACACAAGTCCCAAGAACAAGATATGTCTTTCTGAGAGGACAGGAAGCTGTGTTCCAAAGAACAGAGGAGCAAAGATATTCCATAAAACTAATATATGAATGGGTTACCCACAGAGAGGTACATGCACAGCTTAGGTATTGCTCAGACACTTCTATTTTAAAGTGCTAATGGCACTTTACAGTGCCACCTACAGTGGTATGAACTGTCTCTTAAAATACGTCCCTTCTCTAAGACTGAATGTGCTGTGTACTATACAGGTTTTTTTTTTATTATTTTTTTTTTATTATAAAGAACCTTTAGTAACTATACAGGATTTTCCCCCAAATCTTTAGTATATCCTGTGGCAAGAATTACAGGGATTGCTCATTTCTACAGGGGAAAAAAAAAAATCCCCAAATCTTGTATTCTTCACCACTTAGGAACACACAACTTATTACAAGAATGTGATACTCTTTCTACTTAAATGAATTAGGAAGCTGCTATAAAACCACTTGTATTTTAATAGGTTGTTTTAACCAGTTGCTTGGCAGGAATAGTTTCCTACTTTCTTAAAGCAGATGATCTATTTCAGATGCAGCTGTTTCTCTCACATTCTATATTGCCTATAGAATTGTACATAGAAAACCCTAAATATATCTCATTGATGTTAACAGTTCAATGAAGTTAAACATATTAAAATGTAGTACGTCTATTTCTTTGATTTGTTGTAATCTTTTATCTTAAAATACTCTCATTTTTTATTCTTGATCTCAAAATACTGATCCTTTCATATTATCTTTCTGATTTTGAAGGTGACAAGGAATTAAGTCTATATTTGAAATTGGACAAGTCTTAAAAACAAACACCCAAATCTGTAATGTTTTCTCTTTGAACACCATGACAGAAGGAAAACTTTTTGTTTTTTAACAAGGAAATAACTATATTTGATTTTTTTCCTCCCCATCTTTCCCAAAAAGCAGAGCAAAAAAGGACTCTGGATGAGGAACTAGGACAAGCTATCAGAGATAGCCGTAACAGTTCCTGCACGCCGTTCCTCTCCAACTGTCCTGTCTCCAATACTGAGGCAGCAGCACCTGCTACACCACTGTACTTTCCAAGAGCAGAAATAAAGTACAGCAGCACCAGTTCTGGGTGACTTTAAGTCCCTCTGTTACAAAAGATACTGAGCTGTCACAATACAAACTGTTGTGATCCCATGATCTGAACAGAGCCCCTATCACCTAGTCTAATATGGAAGCTATTAGTTCTAAATTATACATTCAATACCAAAAGACATCTCTGTCTTTGCAAAATGGAAATCACAGTAGCTGGACCAACTACACACAGGTTCATGTTGGAAAATGGGATTAGAGAACCTTCATGTTCTGTGTCAATATAGAAGTCCTCTTTAGAAACAGTACTGCTGAAATATTAGATAATTATATAAGACTCTAACTGCAACTAACAAATCCTCTCACAAATATAGACATGTCTATTTTAAATTAAATGTTAAGTGGGAAATATTTATAGTTTAAGTTGCACACTTTGCTACTTAATTATCATAATTTTAAAAAGAAGACACCTTTAATTTCCTCCTCCAAAGAAGTTATTTACCTGATCTGTAGCCTGGGAGTCCCCAGTAGTCAGTTCTGAGATTCTCATCCCACTGAATGTCAAGGACCTAGCATTTGAAGGATGAGATTTCAACATCAGTTATTGACAGCTTAACTTTGCCTCACCAAAGATAAACCAACCTTCATTCCCACTCAGGTCAGCTCATTGATTTCACAGAAAACACATTTAGAAAGCAGAGCTGAATGCTTTCAGAAATTCCACCCATGAGATAAAAAGGGGAAAAAAAACCCTAACCAGCAAAAAGGAACTGATATAAAATGTTTGAGACTTCTTGATGCACGATAAATCATGTATTTTTGTATATTTGTCTGCAAAGTAACAAGTAACTGAAATTGCTGTTAACTGCTTGCTGAAATGATATAATCTCAAATACCTTACATTCTTACTCTTCAGATACAGGACTCTGTTCTTTGACAAAAACCCAATTTATCCTTGTACCAGAGGTTGTGTTAGGAAAATAACAGTTCTGCTGAAAGAGTCTGGAAAAAAAAAATACACTTGCTGCTCTCAATACCCATATTATAGACACCATAAGCATTATTATGAATACTGAACTTGGTTTCTGTTTTACTCTTATCCTGCTTTGGGTTCAATGGAACTGTGTTCCATTGGAGTTTGACTTCATGTGCAGCCAGAACAGATTCTCAGCAACAGGACCTAATAAGCTTAAGAATAAATATTGGACTTCAACTACATTAAAAATAAATCTGGATACACCAAGGCCCTCAGTTTTTATAATTCTGTATCATTAAAAAAAAATAAATAAAATTGTATCTGGTGAACACTATTCATAGCATTCATATACAAAATAGGACCAGAAAATATAAGCACTATCTCCAGAATTAATTCTGGTTTGTGATGATTTTATTGACATGCATTTCAATTTTTAGAAGTACACTGAGGCAACAGCCTCCTTTTCACTACTGCCATTCCTGTCTGGAATACATTAACAGTTCAAAAGCTTCTCTTAACTAGTTTCTGACTTCTAAGTACCCATTACATTTATAAAGCATTTATTTTAAACAATATCTTCATGTCTCCTACAAGGATGAGGGAACTAAACTAAAGGCTTACATTTATAAAAAGTAATGCTCTTTCTACAACACCGTAGTTCTCAGCATCAGCACCCTACCAGGAAGGCACTGACAGGAAGTCTAACGTGTGCATGAAAACACGCAGAACAGGAGCCTCTGTTTCCAGACCCAGAAGATACCATGCTAATACATTTGAGAAATTTGAAATCCATTTAATTCTGTGGGATTTTTAGCAAGACAAATGATATTCTTAAGGCTTCTCAGATCAGATTTTAGAGATGCATCTAAAAGATGCAAGCAATCCAGTAATTTAACTAATACTTTGTCTTACAAAGTAGGCAGATATTATTAAGAGAGTCTTGATTTGTGTACAACTGAAAAGGCTGACAAACAGTACTCTATCTGATAAGAAGAATTTGGCTGTTGAGTTTTTTTCCCAAATTATCATTTATTTGGCTGCTGGTTGGAACACCAAACACACTGCCAGTTTGAGAAACCCTACAGTTTGCTATAAGAACACAAGAAATTCAAGTGCCTGTTTAAATATTCATAACTACTTTATTAATTTACTTCTAATAGTTCTTATTGAATGTATATTGCATACAGTTCCCATACAGAATATGACTAGAAACCAACTTGTGCTGTGAAGTCATGATTAAGTTATAAAAATAATTGGATGTCTTGGAAAAAAAAAACCACTATGTTCAGAAACCATTAGTCTAAAATTAAATCCTAGTCAGGTGTTACAATGCCAAGATTTAAGGACATATTTTAGAAAAAATAAAATTAAAATAAATTTTAAAAAATTCCAAAGCTGATTTTTTTAAGTAGAAAAATTTCCAAGTTGTGAAAACCTGACTGTGACTTGCTTTTTACTGCCTCTGGATGACTTGAGGTTTAATAACTACCATTTTGATCCAAAACAACTCAGGCTTAGCAAAATATGGAATTTATATAATAAACACATATGAAAAGTCTGAAAAAAGCACACAGCAAAAGGGAGTTGCATCATCAAGATCATAACCTCCATTGACAGGTACTCCAGAGATAATAAATGATGCTAGAATTATTTTCCAGACTCTTTTCCTCCACTCATCTCTTAAGTATGTCTGTTCCTATATGTGCCTTTTAATTTCAACATACTTCATGTGTCAAATAACCAACACAAAGGCTCTGACAGGACACAGCATATAAGCAAATGTAAATGAAATGCCAGCATACCAAACCTAAGTAAGTATAATTAAAAAAAACAAAAACCTACCTGGACTTGAAAAAGCACCCTTGAGCTGCATCAGTACTAATTCCCAAATGAAGACTCTTCCTTGCAAATAAGTGAGCTTTCTTCAGATCATTATTCTGTGGCACAGGCTCCTCCAAATGGCAGAATGAATGTATTGCCATTATTGAAAATTTACACATCATCTGAAGTAATTGAACTGAAAGCAAGAAATACAGCAACTTTATTTTGTGTCAAGTTACCGAAAATACTTTACTTAGTTTTCAAGAACTTGTTGCTTAACAATAGCATTTAAAACACATACAGGATATGTATGTGCAGTGATTGATAAAGCATAAATGAATTCATTAAACCAGATGGAGAGTTCATCTAAGTGGAGATGCCCAGATAAGGGACTTCCATTTGAGGCTACTGTGGAGCACCATTTCAATGCATTTGAGGATGTTTCTTATACATCATGTATTTCTTCTCTTCAAAGAAGCTTTCACCTGTGTATCTAGAATGATACATGTATTTTTGCAGAACATTTGCTTGTAATATAGAATTATCTTCAACTAGTTCAAGTTACTCCTTCCAGCATGAATTATTTTGTAGCTAAAAACACCAATGTCATCTAGCACCATCATGCTAATACAGACAGCTTTAGAAGACTGCCTTCAAGATTCTCACAACTTTCTCTAATTTTACTGGATGTATGCAGTATTTTACTTGGGATGCTTACTTGAGGGCAAGATGAGTCACAGATTCTAGAGGCATAATCTGATGAGCATCTATTCTGGTAAAATGCCAGTCCAGAGAGGACACTCCTGCTGCTTGTTCTGATCCTTGGGTCATGATCCCGTCTCCTGGTGGAGCCACCCACCAGGATGAGTCCAGAGTGAGGAACAAGCTTGGGTTAGAAATTGCTGCTTGCCACAGACTCCTCTCAAAGTCAGGATCAATTTTCTGATTCAAGTCACTGCATGATGGTACAAATCACTGTGCTAATATAACAGGAGGGAAAGTGAGGGAACAAGACCACACAGATAATTGCAGCTAAAAATGTCAGCACTTAAGAAACTGCTGCTGCCACCTGAGTGTAAATTACAAGGTAAATCACAGCTCTGCCACTGAAAGCAGCATAGTGTACTACTGGACTGCTTTAACTTTCAGTTCCACCTCTGAATCACTGGTCATCCTCCCAACAATGGCATAAAAGAATGACGACTTCTAGAGCCTAACAAAACTGCCTGCAGTACAATTTCCTGCCAAAGGCCATACACTGCAACTTTAAGGTAGGATGAACTAAACAGGATGGTCTGCAAATTCCAGCTCTGCTCTTTGTGTTCTGTTTTAAAGTACAGCATGTAGAGCACTTGACAGCTTCTGGTCTTCTGGCACAGCATCCCATCCTAACAAGATGCATTCTTCTTAGCAGATCAGCCACTTCATCCTTTAGAACCACTAAATGAATGAATAGCATCAAGTCCTTCTGACTTAGAAGCCTTTAGCACTTCATTCTAGCATTCATCTTTTGCTTTTCTAATCCCATAATCAGATAACATCCAATCAACATTATTTGAAAATAATAAAATGCCCACAACATCCTTGTTGTGGACAACATCCTATGCTTGAAAAGCAGCATAAAGAGATAAGTCCTTCCTAGCACCTCTTATTCCTTTTAATTGTTTTCTATACTCCCTAAAAGCCAAAGAGACCTGCCAGGTCCTTAACACATTACTGGTGATGTTACCATATTCCTTATATTTTTAAATAAAAGCATACAACAAGCGTTTTCCTGAAATACACTGCTACCAATAAGCCATGACAACACCTATAGCCCGTTACTGAGATTAATTCAAATATTGGGAGCTTAAAATGTTATACAAAAACATCTATGATTGCATGCAAGTGAAAGTGATTGACCTTTAACAGGCAGCAGTTTAGAGATTTCCTCTCTTATCACCAACTTCTTCCTTAAAACTAAGTAATAAACAATACTAAATGAGAACAATTATACAAATGTCAATGGATAAAAAGTTTATCCAGATACCAGAAGAAAATCCATATGATTCCCTGCACATGAGAAGGATTACTGTTTATTAAACTCAACCAGCTGTGTCTCAACACCTACATATATTCAGATTCTACATAGTATATTCTAACAGTGGGGGAGTTTGTTGGGGTAGTAGTGGGTTTGGGTTTGTTTTTTTTTTTAATATAGGAATGCACTCTCACATTCTGAGTCCTTGCTTTGGAAAGTTTTTAGGGCCTCAAGCCTTTCTCAATCTGCTAACCCGCCCTTGTTACCACAGACTCAGTACTAGTGGTACCTGAATTAGGCAGAGTAAATTTAAAGTCATTCACATGTCTCAGTTGCACATGAGGTATCAAATTTTTGGGCACTCTACTCTGGAGAAATTCTAGAACACATCAACTATATGCTAGGAAATAATTTCTATACAAGAAACTCAATCTGACATAAAAGTGTATACAAAGAATTTGAAGCAATACACAAAAAGCATGGGTGTATTCCTCTTACTGTTTTAAATCTTAATCTTGGGTCAAATTTGCAACTCCATGCTACAACATGATGCAATTAGGTAAAACAACAACAGTAACTTACTAGAGTTTAACTTACCCAACTAATGGGGTTTTTTTATAAAGGAAGTATCTATTTGCATAATACAAGTGTGATAATCAAAAAATCATTCTAGTTGGAACAGGCCTCAGAGGTCATCTAGTTCAATCTCTGCTCAAAGCAGCATTAATATGTGAATACTCATTAATGATACAAGTTGTACTCTTAACCTTGCAGACCACTAATCACATGTAATCCTTAATCAAATGCACTCAACCGCCTTTGATAGGATTACTTATCTGCAGAAGGGTTTGTGGGACCAGTCACTTGCCACACATTATTCCTAAGCATGCAACATTATAGCATGTCCAGCAGCACTCAGAACCAGTACCACACTTGCATTTCACTTTAAATGTCTTCTAATCAGGTACTGTTATGAGAGCAGTCTTCCAAGGGGACCTGCTGTACAGGGGCAGATTTTCATAGATGACAAAAGGATGGAGTGAAGCAGGGGGTAACGAACCCCTAAGCAAGGTAGAAGCAGGGGGCTGGGTCCTGGTTTCAGGTGGTTCACAGGCTGATGAATGTACCATAGAGGTCCTGCTCTGAGGGATACCTGTAATACCTATAAACATAAAAAATACCTATAAAGAGAAATGAAGACCACTGGCACCAACAGTCCTCTAGATATCAATGTCAGTGACCAAACTTCAGCAGAGTAAGGTGGGAACCTCTGCTTTAGTACTGCCATTTTGTTTTGTTCCTCCAGTTTTGCCCAGATAAGGACTTCCATTTTTGATTTGTGTGTAAGTTTGCACCTTTATTTCATGCATGAAATATGGTACAGCATTGCTAATTTAAAAAATAAATTAAGAAACCCTCACTGAAACAATCCACAAGTAATAATAAAAAAAGTTGAAATGCTTTATAAAACCATGGTTGCCCAATGACACAAGCTAAATTACAAAATAAATTTGCTTTATATCAGTTCAGTAATACCCTCTGTTCTGAAGCATGAAATACAGTGACAGTTTATCTATGCTGTATGACACTATGTGAACTCTGACAAACTAAATGAAGAAAAGCTCATCTTCTAAATAATTATTTCATTTGAACATTTAATACCTGCTATTTTAAGTAACTTCAAATATTAATACTGTGGACACTACTGTAAATAATATAGGCACTATTTAAATGGTAACAACAACAACAAGAAATAAATAGCAGAATTTATAGGAAAAACTAAATTTACTTTAGCAGCTTTGTTAACCTTGGTCTTCATTCAAAAGGCATTTTAAAACACTGGGTTCTGGGGTATTTTTAAATACACTGAAAACCTTTAAAATTCCACAGCTCCAGACATTATTTACACATCTTCTCCAAACATTCATTAGTAGCCACTGCTGTTTGCTAGGTTGCATAGAGGGCCTGTCCCTATTTGACCTCATTCACTTGAACTACAGGATACTCCAACAATTTTCTCTTGCATATCCATAAAAAGAGTTAAATTTCCCAGCAGTGTTTAAGCAGCAGAAGTTAGGTGCCAGGATGGTGCACCTACATCAACCTCAATGAAAGGAAATGAATGAAAGGGACGTGGTTCAAAGATGCAGGTAGGAAGCAGCAAGAGACGACAATCAAGACAGCAATTCCAAAGCCAAAAATGAGAGGTCAGTCAGATTCTCAAACTGATGGAGCATCTTCACCAGCAAATTTCTACCTTAGATATCTTTATTTTATACTTGTGTTAAGAAACTTTAACATTTCTTCTGATTAATTAAGATAATTGATCCCACTAAATATTTAAGTTCTCACTTAACAATAAGCTATATTGCTTTTGTGTTTTAGAAAGAAAAAAAATACTTCAGAATAGTTGTTTGCAACAAAACTAACTGCATTTCCATGTCTGCCACCCTTTATAGGAGTGTAGTGTTTGGTATCGTAGTTGAGAAAGGAAAGTCAATACCTGACTACCAAGCAACAAGTCCTGTCCTGGTACCCTGTCTGAGGGAAGAGAGAACAAATTGCAAGGAGATGCTCTGTGGTATGTTGCCAACACAGGTATGCCCACACCTTGCACTGTGCTGCTGCAACATTAGAAGCAGATGATTGCTTTTGAGTTTTGGCCAAGGTGCAAAATTACTTTACTGAATAACCAGGGAAAAAGCAACTGAAACAAAAAAGAGAAAGTGTTGTGTCAATTATACCATGTTGTGTACAGAGAATGACACCAGCACACCTCAACACTTCTGCATTAGCACATCACCAAGTGTGTAATATTTTATATAACCAAGTTATATAAAATTACCATTGTGGCTAGTTAATAATATTTCTGATAAAGGAAAAAGCACTATCAGGCTGAAAAGGACAATTACAGCCATTCTCTTCTGCTCTAAAGGCAAAGGTAGAAATGATGCTTTATATAGAACAAGTACTGAACGCTACCACAGCTTTGGAGCATATGGAACATTAATTTTAAAGTACAAAGAAAGGTTGGGAGATTGACAGAGAAGAGGACATACAATTAGATGCACTTAACAGGCCAATAGGCTGCAACACTTGAGAGTTAGAGGGGTGCTAAATATAAATCAGCAAACCAGAACTCAGCAATATTTTGTTTCAGCTAGAAGTTGAACTATTGATGTTTTAGGCTAGAGGGGAAAAAAGGTAACCATTTTTTGTCACCACCATGATCCCACTCATCCACTCCCCACACCCCCTGCCAACACAGTGTCCAAGAATTACCGAAAAAATGCTCTAAAAACAGTTTGGAGATGTAAAAAATAATTTATTTAGAAAAGGGTAGTGATGTCCAGGCCCAAAATGTCTCCTTCTTGAGGGTGAAGAACCACATGCATTCTTACAGCAACTAGCATGATAACAAATTATGATGTGCTGATTCAGCACCACAAGCAAATAAAAAAAGTCATATAAAAAATCTGTGTACTACACTTTAACAAAGACAAATCATTTTCTTTCATTACCCCTACCTAAAGAATGACTTCATACACAAATAATTTTTTCAGACGTTAAAAAAGAAACAAACAAAACCACCACAGGCTAATTCAGAAACAGGAAAGATTTTGCAAGGGCTTTAAGCTGACATAGAATTAGTCTTACCACCTTCAAAAAAACTCTTTAGACTCATGCAACTCTGTGAAAAATCAGGCAAGTATGCAATATGCTGTAATTCCAGAAACAGGAGATGGGACAGGCATTTTAAACTCTTCAGAAGAAGCATCAGTCTTTCTTTGCATTTACACAGCACTTCCTCAAGAGATGCCAGAAGCTGGAGCCTCTGTTCACGCATAGCATAAAGTGGCTGTAACAATATCAGCATCCTTACACAGAATGTTTAACCAAATGGGATTGCAGAAAGCAAAAAACCTCCAAGACTAAATAAGAAAAGAACCACAAGATAATGGTGATAAAATGTAGTTCAAGTGCTTCAAATACCAGAGGGGAAAGTCTCTAATGGACAGGTAATGCTACATCAGTGGAAGTTTAAATAGATAAGTAAGAACAGAGAGATAATCTGTCACTTTTAAACTTCACAAAATAGATCATTGCTCTTTTTTCCTTTATCGGTACCAACTGACATCTTACAAACTTAGAATCAGTCTACTTGAAAAGACTCCTTCCTTCTGAAAGTACCAGAATACATGAAAAATATTTTGAAGCACATTATGGAGTGTAAAAAGAACTGGCCAATTTCTTGGACAGTGTGTTACTTAATATCTTTTCTCTACTAACATAGGAACCAGGTTCTGCAGGCAAGATATTTAGAATTTTTTTCCAAGATTCACAAGGGTTCAACTTTAACTAGTATGTTTGATTATCACTTACTGTTTCAATTAAACAAAACAACCTTTAAAGTTACTTTGAAAACAGAACAAAATAACTAAGATTCAGTGTGCTCTGACACTTTTTAGAAGTGTTATAATATCAATTATTGTTTACTTGCATAGATATAATTTGGCATTCATTTCCTTTTATAAACACATACAAAAGAGTGATAGCACCTTTTACACCATCCCAATTTTCCTAACTTCCTGTACAACACTGTCTTTAGCAGCTATTGCTGAAAATCACTGTTCCCAAAATGAATGAAACCTTACTGATATGCATCTTGGAATTCTGCTGTAAGTCAATCAGTTAAACCTAAAACCACCTTAGAGATTCCAGACTTTCATACAGAGGAAGAGAAAACCAGTATAAAGGCCAAACAAAAAGGAAAGTAAAATAAAACCTGCCTTAAAAGAGCAATTAATGTGTGAAACCAGAAACCAGCATATCACATCTGGGAAAGTATTAACTATTTGTTCATTTAATTTCAAAACACTTGGCTAGCTGTAATCCTTCTTACTTTGTAAGTCTTTTAACCAATGCAACCCCAAACTTTCACCTCAGTTTTCCAAGTCCTTAATATCAAACTAGGCAATATCTTTGCTACTACAGAGACATGAATTTTGTTTGACTCTTGTTATATTACCTCAGCTGAGTCCCACCCAAATCCTTCCATCAGCATTAAGCTGTGCTTTCTGTTTTTGTTAACTTTCACAAGAGTAGCAATGTGACACCACAATGTCACAGAAACAACCCAACTATTGGAAGATTCCTAAGGCCACAAATGCACAACATAACCACCATGATCATATCAGATACCACCCTGCTTTCCATGGGTTTCAGATACAAGATTTCATCACTGATATTTTCCCCACTAGAAACATTCCTGAAAGTAATTCCTTTCTGGAAACACAAGAGATACTAAGTCTCTAACCCTTGGCTATTGTTCCCTACTAGAACAGGGTCAGATGCCTAAGGGCTGTAGGAAATGGAGGTAAAATAACTTCAAGAATAGTAAGAAAATTAAGAAAGTACTTTGAAGGCCAGCTGCAATTCCCAAATGGAAATATTTTCAGTGATTTCTGAGAGCACTGCATCAGGTCAGAAGTGTTCAGTTTCTCTCTTTCTGTGCATCAAAAAATGTACTCCTGTTAAGGATGACTAAGAGACACTCTCTTATAAGATCCAAGAAGAAAAAACAGGTCTACCTCAGAGCAATATATAGATTTCTCCTGTTCTGTAAAGGCTACAAGCAACATAACAGGGAAAAATGCAGCATTTTTTTTTCTGTACTTCTGAAAATGTGTCATAAAAATATAAGATGTTTTTACTCCAGAAAAATAAAGGGTTTAAACAGGTAGGAGTTGACAAAAAAAAACCAAAAAAAACTGGCCTCCTTTTTAGCTACTGATTTTAGAATCTGTCTTAGAAGAGATCTCCCTCCCTTAAAATACTGCAATGCAATAGCCAAATGATACTATGTGTACATATCAAAATCGGTAATGTTACTGATCTGTGGGCTTAAAAACAGTTGAGGAATGCAAGAAAGTTTACAATCACAGTTACCTTGACGTCACATAAAAAAAAAATTATCTAAGCGAGACAATGGCTTTCTTGTGGTCTGTACTTCAAAAACCGAACATAAGTAATATATTTAAGTATTAAACAGAGAAAAAGAGGTATATATAATTAGTTGCTTTATTTTTCTTACATTAAAATTTAAACTTGCAAAGTGCCATTTTAGAAATGTCCTTATGTTAGGTTTTAGAAAAAGAAGGAAAGTCAAGCAAAAGTGAAAGCCAAGAAACAAAACCTTCAGAGCAAAAGTTTTCAGCTGGTACCTCCCACTCCATTCTCAGTTTCTCAGGGACCATCATGCAGCAACAACATTACTCTTTGAAAGCACCATATATATACATATATCGAGTCTTAAACAGCATTTCAAGAGTTCATCTTGGGGTTTGGGAGGAAGACTCTGAGTCTTCGCTGTGTCCATGTAATCACAGAGTTGGCGAATCATACTTGAACAGAGTGCAACAAGAGGATGATTCCCTAATACAGGAAGTTAAATCAGACGTGGCTGTTCACGCACTTGCCTGAACCAAAGTAGCTTCAAAAATATATCTTAAAACCCTCCTAATTCTTTCTATATTAAAAAAAAAAGTTTCAAATATCTTAAAACCCTCCTAATTCTTTCTATATTAAAAAAAAAAGTTTCAAAAAATAGATAGAAATTGATGAAACAATAAATAAGCCATGGGCTCATGCACTGTTAGTTAAATCAAAACCAAAGCTACAAGACATACAAGACAAAACTCAGTTTGAGCAAACAGAGTCTATCCAGATCCCAAAGTCATTACCAGTCCACATCTGGAACACTCAGATCAAGTCCTAGTGACTGTGGAGCTGGCATCATGTAGTAATTATCACTGTAGGATTGTTTAGTTCAGGACAAATGAAGTTCTACGGTAAAATGAGATGAAAAACATTGCCAACACAAAAACTCTATTCCTCAAGCATATGGAAAAACTCAGGTTCTGGATTCTGTCTTTGGCATAAGCTTTCCTTTAATCAACTTGAATGTCCAGGAGGAAAAAAGAAAGGACACCAGTAAATCCTGTGTGGTGCTTAGAGGTATATAAAAAACACCTGAAGTCATAGAATACTTTGGGTTGGAAAGGATGTTTAAAGCTCATCTAGTCCACCCTCATGCAACGAGCACGGTAATCTACAAGACCAAGTTGCTCAGAGCCCTAACCAAAATGACCTTGAATGTTTCCATGGATAAGGCATCTACTAGCTCTCTGACAACCTCACAGTTTTTCTCCAACCTCATTGTAAAGTATTTCTTCCTAGTCCCTGCTAAAATGTCTGTCCCCATATATAATACAGTATACCAAAAAAGTAAAAGTTGGGGGTGGGAGGGAGGGAGGAGACAGAACAGAGAATGGAGGCATTAGGCAGCAAAAAAAAAAAAAATCTTAACAATATTGAGTCATGCATTCTAACTTACCAAAGAGCTGGGATCTAGTACTAGAACTTTTTCAAAATCAGTCTATGCTAACAAGCAGGAAAAACATCTATTTAATCCTTCCAGAGCACAAACACACACAAGTAAACACCTTTTAACCACATTATCTCTTAAGCTGCCAACACTTGAGACAAAAGTTTGTGAAAGTCCAAAACAAAACAGCAGACTCTAGTCACCCCTGGGAAAAGGTGGAACTTACACTACAATGAGAAGCCAAAAATTTGTTATTTAAATTAATAAACAGAACTTACATTACCTTTCATACTACTGAACAGAACTTACATTGATTTTCATACGTCCACCGTATTTTAACCATAATTCAGTATTGTGGTTTTGAGAGTCCCAAATGCCAGGAGAAAAATCACTGCATAAGTACAACTACCTAAGGAAACTACTACACGATATCGTTCAGTAGACTACATTATTTGACCAGTTTTAGCAGTTAAACAGAGCCACTGGAAAAGAGATTAAATAAATATCAAATGCACTGCATATATGTAGGAACACCCATCTCACTGACTGTAGAGCAACCGAGTTTCTCCTCCTACTCAACATATCCAAAAGTGCTTTACACTCCTGATGAACAGAAAAAAACCATTCTCCACAATCAAAGCACTAATGAAGCAAATCTCAACATCAATCTAAAAATAAGTACACGTCACATATTTCTTTGCAAATTTCATTCTAGTATTTCTCCAGTCAGGTATAAAACTTCCTCCAATAGAATATAATACTCTCAAACATTAATTCAACCTTCACAACATTGCTGCACAACTTAAAGGAATAAGTACAGGAAAAAAATTAGATTACGGATGTTACGACGGCCCCGTTATAGCAGCACATCATTTCGCAATGCTAATCATACAGCGCTAAGCGCTTTTTAAAAGCGCAGCCAGGAGCAGCGTGTCAGGAAAGCAGAGGCAGGCAGTAGGAGAGAAGGTATTTTCTGTGCTCCCACTGGAACAATCTCCTGGCTCACTCTGTCCTGCAGCCCCGAGGAGCAGGAGGCTGGGGCCGCACTGACAGCTTTCCTGACGCAAGAGAAGCGGAGCACTGACCTAAATGCCGCAGCTGCCGGGCTCCTTGCAGCTCAGCTCGAGGAAAAGGGGCCAGCGTGGATTCAAGTGCCGGCCACAAATACTCGAGCAACTGCAGCCCGAGGCTGCTGGTGCAGAGACGCTCGCCGAGACCACACCGTCATCTCGACCTCTTGAGCCTGAAGCCGCCAAAAAAGACTGCGAGGCGAGCTCTAGGCTGAGATTTAGAGCAGAGATTTTCAACAGGGAGCTGCGCATCCCCGCAGCGCTTCGGCGGCAGCAGCAGAACTGGCCGCCGCAGGCTCTCGGGCAGAGTCACACGGGAGGCACCGAGCCTCGCACAAGGTTAAACCCCACCCTGGGCGCGACTTTAGGCAGGTATTCAGTGGCCCGCAGGTTAATCATCACCTCCCTGCCCCGGGCACCGCGCCGAGCGGCGGCGCGGCCCCTCCCGCCAGCGGGGAGAGCG